GGCACCATTCATTCCTCAAATGCTAATCTAAGAGGGAGTCATGGCTTCACTCAAGGAAAGTTTCATTTTCTTTCTCGCTCTTTTTTTTTTTTTTTTTTTCTTTTTTTTTAGAGAGTGTCTTGCTCTGTGGCCCATGATGGAGTGCAGTGCAGTGGCACTATTAGCTCACCACAGTCTCAAACTCCTGGGCTCAGGCAATCCTCCTTGCTCAGCCTCCCAAGTAGCTAGGACCACAGGTGTGCCACCATGTCCAGCTTTTTTTTTTTTTCTTAAAGATAGGGTCTTGCTGTATTTCCCAGCCTCATCTCAAACTTCTGGCCTCAAGTGATCCTCCTACCTTGGCTGCCTGAAGTGCTGGGATTACAGACATGAGCCATTGAACCCAGCTGAGAGCCTCATTCTCATTAGCTATGCTGTGAGGGGTCAATATATGCTTCAGCTTTTCTGGAGAATCCTTACAGAGAAGTTTCTGAATGAAACTACAGATTCATCTGGATTCAGAATTCTGGACAGGAGCTGCTTAACAGCAAAAATCTGGCATCTTCATTATATTTTAAGATTTTAGGTAGAACTAAGAGGGATCAGATACAGAGAGAGAAGGAATGTGAGAAGGAAAAAGATATAGTAGTTTAGCTAAATGTTTTCTTAGAGTTTCTTGGTGGGGCTGGACATGAAGTAACTAGTCTGACTCATTTCTCCTGGGAAGGCTAAAAGAGACACAAATAGCTTCTCTTTTACCTTGGCTTTAAGGAAAAGCCACTTTATTTAACAAAAGTATTAAACATGACTGCATAAGAAATTTCCTTATGAGAATAAAGAACAAGGGAATAGAAGGGTGGGACAAAGGGGCAAGAAGTTGATTTCGTGAGGGCTACCTGTCAGTTGTTTTTGTGCCTTGTTTGTGACATCAAAACTGAAATGTTTGTGTTACTGTTGTCCGTGACTTTTTTTCTGTGTCAGACATACAAATTGAATTTGTAATGTTTTAAACTAAATAAAGCATTCTCACCTACATTTGTTACCAAGAACTCATAATTAACACAGCAATGGTTAATCATGATCTGACATTAAATGGCCTCAGCAAGGGAAGGACTCATATGATACTTGTCCTCTGATTGTTGTAAGTATGGTAATAGAGGAATACATATTATGGGGTTACAGAGGGGCAGGTACTGACAGAGTAAAAAGTATGTTTTTACAGATTGTAGTAAGCTAGATAAATTCTGTTGTCACTCTTTCTGCTCTCCACAGACTGTAACATTCAGGAGGATATGAGGGGTAGGAAAGGTGGTTGGATAAGGTGATGGTACTTAGCTCATTTCTAAGATGGGCACAAATATGTGCCTGCTAGAAATTGCACTTGGGGGCCGGGTACAGTGGCTTATACCTGTAATCCCAGCACTTTGGGAGGCCGAGGCGGGCAGATCACCTGAGGTCAAGAGTTCTAGACCAACTTGACCAACACAGAGAAATCCTGTCTCTACTAAAGATACAAAAATTGGCTGGGTATGGTGGCACATGCCTGTAATCCCAACTACTTGGGAGGCTGAGGCAGAAGAATCGCTTGAACCCAGGAGGCAGAGGTTGCGGTGAGCCGAGATCGAACCATTGCACTCCAGTCTGGGCAACAAGAGTGAAACTCCATCCCAAAAAAAAAAAAAAAAAAAGAAATTACAGTTGGAGAAGGGAAGAAGGAAGTTATTTGTGGGAGGACATTTTAAGTTCTGTAAAGATTTGAGAAATTCCACAGTACCATAATTAAGAGGAGGCAGTTAAAAACCGTTGTTAGCAAAAGAAGTGATAAATACTTCAGAGAACTATTAATCCTATTTTGGATGGCTAAGCCTTCTGAAGAGAATTCCAGATGATTTTAGGGGGGCTTGTCAAGCAGAAAATCTGTCCTTGCTTGAAGCATCTGGGCTCAGTTTTTTTTCTTTCAGTAGTTAACTTTAAAATTTTAACGTAGATTTAGCTTAAATATAGACTCTAAAACAGTTGAACTCAGATTACCTTCTCTGGACATTGTATTATTTTGTCTAAAGTTTTAATTCCATTTTGGCTTTTCAACTTTATAAAATATTTTTGTTTTTATTTATAAAGTATTTGTTTAGAATCACCCATGTGTTTTTTCTACACATCTTTTCTTCCTATATTTCAGAGCTTCCTTTTGAAATCTTTTCTTTATGAAGGAAGTTTACTTCAGTGATGATTTGTTGGTAGGATACTCATTAACCTTTGTTGATCTAAAAGTCTTAATTTTTGTTCTTGAAAGATAATTTCACTGAGTATAATTCTAGATTGATAGTTATTTTCTTTCAGGACATTGAAGTTATTTTTACACTCCCTTCCGACTTTTATTTTTGTTTTTGAAGAATCAATTACCAATTTAATTATCCTTCCTAATCTGTCTTGTCTCTCTGGCTATTTTAAGGATTTTTTGTTTCTAGTGTTCTTTGGTTTAATTAACATGTGACCAAGTGTGGATTTCTTTTTATTTATCCAGATTAGGATTTGTGGTGTTTCCTAAATCTGTGGATTGGATTTTCCATCAAATATGAAAAACTCTCGGCTATTAACATGTCAAATATTTCCTCTTCCTTTTAAACTCTCTTGAGAATTCCAATTTAGCATTAGATTTTTTTTCATTCTAGCCCCATATTGTTTAATCTATATTTTGTATTTCCTCTCTCTTTGTCTTCCATTCCCTATTCAGGTAAATTTCTTCAAGTTTATCTTCCAGCTCACTAATTCTCTTTTCAGCTAGCTCTAATCTCCTTTCTTTGAGTTTTAATTTTAATTAATATATATTTCCTTTATAAGAGTTTAATTTAGTTATTTTTCAAATCTGCACAGTCCCTGCTGATAGTGTCTTGTGGCTTACTCTTTTTTTTTCAATGCTCTCTTATTTATGTGAATATATTAAAGATACTAACCTAAAATTTTATATCCAGTAGTTCCAATATCTATAGTCTTTGTGGATCTAATTTTAGAGTTTGTTACTTCTGCTAATTCTCACAGTTTTCTGTTTCTTTATGGGTTTTATAGGTTTTTGTCGTAAGCTCATGTTTGGTGCAATACCATATGACATTGTGCCAGTCAAGAAAGACCTTTCCTGTTCCTTATCTGCCTTCCTTTTCTCTGTAATGACTCCATATATACACAGCAACCCTGGGGGGGGGGGCAGGAAGAATGAGTGATTGCGTTAAAGAAGAAGGAAGTGTGTTAAATGGGAAAAAAATGAAAAAGGCACACATACATGCATTTCTTTTTAATGCAAGCTCTAGACTGCAAACAAAAACTTAAGATGGGGAGGACAAGAGGCTTTAACTTTACATATTCTTTAGAGTTTGATACTATAAGAGAATGGCTGTCTTAATTACAGACATAGACTGTTTTAGGGTTTAAAAGTGAACAGAAGTCTCTTAATTGTTAAGAGTGGCCAAAGAAATTATGGATCTAGATTTCATTCAAGAAGCAAGGAAGGCCAGGCACTATGGCTCATGCCTATAATCCCAACAGTTAGGGAGACAGAGGTGAAAGGATAGCTTGAGCCAGGAGTTCAAGACCTGCCTGGGCAGTATAGTGAGACTCCATCCTCCACAAAAAGGTAAAAATAAAAAAAGATAAAAAATTAAAAAAGCAAGGAAGGACTAGACTCATAGGATGGATTAAAATTAGACAAAACAAATAATTCATTTTTCCCTATGAGTATCTAATTCAATTTTTATATGCTTTCATTTCAAGAAATAAAAAGTAGGCTAATTTCAGGTTCTCTTCGAAAATCTTGGCAGAGACATCTGTTCACTTTTAATACTACTAATAATCATCACATCACTTAGGTGAAAATTATATTTTCTGCTGAATTGGTTATAAGCATTTCCTAAATGCTTATCAGGTGGCCTAAGATGACTCACCAAAAATGGTATGAGGTGTGTGGAGGTAGCTAGCAAGTTGCTCAGAGGTGAGTTAGTTGGCCTGACACGCCACCTAGTGGCATGCATCTTTAAGAGAATGACTATTGCTAACCTTCCAGTATTGGGTGGAGGTGTACCTCACATTACTTAGGGGATGTGTTTTTGAAAAGCTATATATGAATTATATATTTTAAAGCTATATATGAATTTATATATATTTTTATTGAAAAACTAAGTACATTAGGAGTTCTCGAAAGTGATATGTTTTTCTGTACACTTTACAAGTTTAGAACTTGCCATATTATGTTTTAGACGCAGCTTCTGTGGATATAATTTGGGGGAAACCTCATGGTTTTTGCTTGGGATCAAGTGGGATTTAGGTACACACCTTTCGTGATTTAAATCTATTTTAAAGTGTGCTTTTAACACCATTGAATTACAAATGCTTTCTGAAGTCAGGTCAGGACTACTCTGATTCTGCAGAATAATGGTGAAGCCAGTTTCTCTTTAACAAGCAAAAACGATGTCATCAAACTGTACAACCAAAGGACCTAAATAGTCCATTCCCTAGTTTTTGGCTGTAGAAAGATGAATCAATCTCCTGTCTCTTGTTCTCTCTCTCACTGTCTCTAAAAAACAAGCAGAGGAGAAAATTCCAGAGTCTTATGTTAAAACATTTTACTTTCTTCTTTTTTTTTTTTTTAACAATCCTAGCTCTCTGGAGATAGACTTCTCATATGTTCTTACAAATTTTGCGTAGAAGCATAGCACCAATGGATTCTATCTGGCTCTCTTTCTTTCCCTGAGATGTTAATGCCCAGTAGCGCAAAGCTAGATGGATATATGTGTATATGTGTGTATATATATGTGTGTGTGTGTATATATATATATATATATATATATATGTATGAACAAAGGGGCTGTTCTAAAAACAATGTTAACAGAAATTGACTATATATATAGACATATATATATATATAATGTCGAATGACATATATATAGCCATTATATATAGAGAGACAGTATATATAGAGACATTATATATATATATATATATATATATATATATATATGTATGTATATAATGTCGATTTCTATTAACATTGTTTTTAGAACAGCCCCTTTGTTCAACTGAATGTAGTTAAATTATAATGGACATTAATACCCAGCTCCACCTTCCCAGCCTCTTCATATTGCTGGTATGACCTAGATGCCTAGCTTTTCTCATTTCCTCAGGTCAAGGTGATAGCCACTGATATTTCTTTACTTTGGCAGCTGTATTAGTAAATAATTTTTTTTTTGTTGCAAATGACAGGAAGTTAACTCAGACTAGCTTAAGAATAAGAAAAGGAAAAATGGAGGTCATCTATAAGAGAGATCCTGGAGTAGCTCACAGGCTGGAAGAAGAGCTGTAGGAACTGCGAAAAAATCTGGGTTTCAATGTAGTAAGATTCCCTGTTCATCATCTACACCTACTTGTATTTTTATACCCATATTTGGATAGACTTACTCCAAAAGGTAAGAATATATCCACTAGCAGTCTGAGAGTCACAACTTTCCAGCTCATTTGACCAAGCAGGCAAAAGGCCTTACTTCTGAGAACAATCCTGGAGAAAGACTGTGGTCAACTCATATTGAGTCATGTGCCCATTTCTGAGCTAATCGTGTGGCCAGAGACATGGCAAGTCTGTTTATGACCAGGAAGGTGAGACTGCAATGGACTGGATAGCGGGATAGGAAGATTTCTCCAAAGAGAAGAGAGATGTTATTAATAGAAGAAGTAGGAATAGCAATGCTGGGCAGACACATATACAACACCAGCAGCTACCTGCTACTGCATCCAAAAAGATTCTTTATCTGCAGTCACAGAGCCCTGAACAACCAGCCTTTCTGGCTTCCTTTTGTTGCCAATTCCCTTACACATATTATCCCTACCCAAGGCTGCAGGGAGGCTGTTTACACCGCAGTTCAGTGACAAATCCTACCAGAGCATTCCGTATAACAGTGAATGTCCTTGATTATGCTTAGCTCATTCTGAATTTAAAAATCCATCTCTGTGTCACTGCCTTTGTTAGGACATTTCATCTCTTCCCTGGATTCTTTCAGTACCTTCATTTCTTCTCTCCTACTTCTCTTGTCTCCTAATTATTTGCCTTCTACTTTTTTTGTTAGAGGTTATAAACAGTTTGAAGAAAAATACTTGATGCTGGGCAAGGTGCTTCCCCCCTTGCTCTCTAAGCTCCTTAGAACAGGGGACATTTTGTTTCTCTGTTGCTATGGACTGAATGTTTGTGTTTTCCCCAAATTTTTATGTCAAACCTTTAAACCCAACGTGATGGTATTTGGAGATGAGGCCTTTGAAAGATGATTAAGTCTGATGGTAGAACTTTTATCATGGAATTAGTGTCCTTATAAGAAGAGACAGGAGAGAGATTACTTCCTCTCTTTCTCTGCTATGTGAGGATACAGCAAGGCATCTGTCTTCAAACCAGGAAAAGGACCCTCACCAGGGACTGAATGTACTAGTACATTGAGCTTGGACTTCACAGCCTCTAGAACTGTGAGAAATAAATTTCTGATGTTTAAGCCACCTAGTCTATGGTATTTTTGTCACAGCAGCCTAAAGTGATGAAGACACCCATCCACCTCTTCATTCTTTTCTGTATAAGCAGGAAAGGAGAACTACCTGGATTCCTGAGTGTCTGAAGTTCATCGTGCCACATTTCGCAGTGTAAAGTAAGTGTTTACACACCCCACATTCTCTTTTCTGGTCCTAAACCTTTCACCTCCTGTTCTCAGGGATGGCCAGTACATTTGTGCTTCCTTCTCTCAGGTGAAGGAGAACATGTGACTTGGGCAGAGTCCTCTCTTTGCATCTCAGCTTGAGACCAAAGCTGCCTTCTCTAATACGGTTATCAGAAATCCTGCATTTTGGGAGTTGGCTGTTCTTTGGTGAGCTCCCATTTAACTCATAGCCTTTATGTATGTGCAGCATTTGTCATGGAAGAATAGGGCTATATCACCTCCAAATATATGTAATTTTTATATCAGATTATATGATTTTAAAATATATTTTCTTGAAAAAAGTTATTAATTACTTCTAAGCAACCAATATCTCACATTCCTCTGATTATTGATTACCCATGATACTAAACTTTCTTTCCATTCCAGCATTTGATACAGGAATTCAAACAAAATATTGAACATGTTTTAGCAAATTTAGAGCAACAGATTCTGGAGTGGGAAGACTCCATTTATTAAGGGATGTTCCCTCATAAGAAATGAACAACAGGCCCACGGCATGCTCCATGTGGAGAACCTGGGGTGTGCTCATTCTTCCATGGCGATTCTTGAGATGTAAATAACTCCATCACATGAAGGTGGATTTCCATAGTGATCCAAACTCAAGTCACTCACAGCAGGCCATGGGGAATTTTCAAAAGGAAACCTCTTCTCCAGGCACTTGAGGGCTCTTGTGTACATTTTCAGTGCTTCAGAGGGAAACGTCTTCAAGAACTGGCAAACAGCTGTTCGTCACGGCAAATATATTTCTCATTCCAAGGAAAGCATCAACACATTTTTTTCTCTCTCTCAAGGAAATTCAGAACTAAATGGATTGATTTAAATTCTTGACTTAAGGAGACTAGCAGCTTTGATAATGCTGCCAAATTCTCCTCACAGTATCGGAAAGAAAAAAATGACCTGAAGACTTGCACGGTAAGAATTATAAGTGGTGAAAGGAAGCTACTCATCCCTGGTTTTTGGTAGACGGCAGCCTGGCAGTGGGCAGCACCGACCTGCAGAGAGGACAGAGGCAATCGGGCACTGGGCTGCCTGCCATGGAGGCCCCGAACTGATGGGTGGCTGGGTCCCCTAGGTCCAGGCAAAACACCAGAGCATCACACAGTTCATCCGTGAGGGTGAGCCTGAGGGTACACCTGAACTCTCACATACAGCCACATCATATCTTGATAAGGACTCTCAGTCATGAAATTCCAGACATTCTAATGTTTCCTAAGCAGAAAACTCAAATAACAAGTGGTTCAGTTGAAATTAAACTACCTGGCAAAACTGAAGTCTAACTTTGGCACTTTCTGCTAAAAACCCTTCTGGCTCTCCATAGTCTTTTTCACATAGAGTCAAGTGCCTTAGAATATACAAAGCTCTCTACGATCCCACCCCTTTCTGCCATCACAGCTTCATTGCCTGTCTCTACCTCTACTTCTTTTCTACTTCTTTGCTATGCTGTAACATGCAGAAACATTTGTAGAGCTTGACGACATTATTCCAGAATACCTTCCTCCCCTTCTTTGGGCAATTCTTACATGCATTTTAAGACTCAGCTTGGATGTGGCATCTTTTAGGAAATCCCAGTTCCAGCAGGCTGAGCTAAGAGCCCTTGGTCCATGCTTCCTCTGCAGCGTTTGCCCTGTCACGATTTTCAACGCACTAACACAAAATGATCTCTTTTTGTGTCTGGCTACCCACTGAAATGCAAGTTCTTTGAAAGTATCCTTTTTTTGGTATCCTTCATACCACCGTGGTATGTGGCAGGCAGTAGGTCCTGTAACGTGAGCTTAACTAAACCCAAGTGAGATCATTTTATGATATTCTGAAAGCTCTAACCTCAGGACAGCTGCAGAGCAGTCACTCCCATGCAGGTTGAATAAGCACTAACACTTTTACATCCAGGTCACATCTCAGCCAGTACAAATGTTCTCAGTCACTTTAAGGCTTTCAGCCTAGCCATACCCAGAACAAAGGTTGGAACACTTTTCAAAGGGACTTGCTGAAAAACGAATTCCTTTCACATAAAAGCATGAAGGAGTTTGGAAGGCAGGCGATGGGGATTGTTTTCACTCATAAACCATGGGCAAAAGAGATCCTGAGATAGTATGGTCAGATTTTGGAAGCAGAAACACCAGAGGCCCTGTATCAGTTTTCAGCCTGGTCTGTTCACTCCAACCGATGATTTATTTGTAGCTGTAGAGGTTCTAAATGTTGCTGTGGCTGGGACATGAAGGAGGCAACCAGTCCAAAAGCTGTTTGTGTGTTTTTATCAGCACCTAGACAAGCAATCACTATTCCTAAGCTGTCGAGAACCACGAAAGAGTATAAGCTACGTGTATAAGAGAGACATCAGGGTTGGACAGCTAGGTGGGTGGCTGGAAAACATCCTGTCAAGGTAGAGGGGAGGGTAAGGCACTGAACTACTAGAGAAAGCGACTTAACCTCTGGTAGACCCTGGGTCTGCTCCTTCTCCAGCGTATCTGAGCCTCAGTTTTGTTTAATCTAAAAGGTAACAAAATCAGTGTGACAAGTAGAAAATTTAAATGTTATGAGCGCTCCTCAAACTCTTTCTCCTTCAGTGCATACCAAATTCTGAACAGCTGGCTCAGCTTCTGCAATTTTGTGGTAAAAAATGATATAATGGGTTCACAAGGGAAGGATCCAGTAGAGCCTGGCCAAGCTCAATTGATTTACATGGAACCAGCTGGCCATGGGAGAGAAAAGGATGAAAGAGATCATGGCCAGGATGGGCTAGGAGAGTTTGGAGAGGAAAAAAGTAGGTTTTGGATATAACCAGCATTTACATGAGATTTTGAGAGAGAGATGAAAAGAAGCTTTTAAGGTTTAAAATTTTTTTGTTATGAATACAAAAATCCCTTTGGGATTTTTGAGAGACTTTACCATGTGCCAATCTAGGGCCATAGGTTAAACTGGTTATAACAACATTTAAAAGTGTCCCTTCTGAGTAAGGCCTTTATCTTGTTACCTAGCACAAAATGATTATTTTCTTTTGCAGTTTTTTTGAGGAGGTGTCTCCATGCTTGGCATGAAAACCAGGGGAGGAAACTACAAGATGCCCTCCTGTGTACAATGAGGTATCCTAGACATTGACTGTAAAAAGGTAGGACAGTATTGGAATGTTGATCAGAGAAGGCCTCTCAAAGGATCGGATATTTTCAAACTGTTACTTGAAGGATAAGAAGAAACTGGGATTGTGAGGATCATTGGGCAGAGTCCCAAGGAAAGGGTGAACAAGTGAACAGTGCTTGAGGTGGGCATGATTTCAGAATGCTTGAGGAACAGAAAGGAAGCCATCATGGTGCAAAATTAGTGAACAAGGAAGGATGTAGGAGATGATGTTGGAGAGGCTGCAGGGGCCCCCAACATCTAGATCATTTAGGCTGAGAAGGGTATGATAAAGATGCCCGGCTGGCAGGCATCCTCCTCAAATCTCTTCTCTTTTTCGTTCTTTGAAAAAGACTCTTATCTGGATATCTAGCCAGAGACTAAATTTCCCAGCCTTCCTTATTGTGACTTGTGGCCACGTGACTAGAGTTATTACCAGAGGAATGTGACAGAACAGATGTGTGCAACACCCACCTTACTTGACTGAAGGGAATTTACTTGTCTTTAATTTTCTTCCTTTGAGTGACCAACCACACGAATAAGGACAATGTACTAGCCGTGGGCATGGTGGAGCCACAAGATGGGAGGAACGTGGCTCCCAAATGACCTCATGGAGAACTGGCCTGCCTGGCTGGACTAAGTGAAAGAGAAATATGCTTCTCTCTTATTTAAGCCACTGTATTTTGAGGTGTTTATTATAGTGATATAGTCTTTACTATAATTAAACCAATGAGAAATGTGGACTTTTTTCTAAATTGGAAACCATTAGGAAGTTTCAAACAGATGAATGTTGTGGCCTATGTTTGAAAAAGATCATTCTGACTTCTGTGTGGAAAACAGACTGTAGGAAGACAAGGGGGAAGAAGTGAGAACTTTGGAGGGGGGCGGCGAATGCAGATGTTATGTGAGGGACAATGGAATAAAATGATGGCAGTGGACAAGGGTACTCAGGATAGACTGTGAATATATTTTGGAGGTAGAGCAAATAGGCTTGTTGATTTATTCAATTTTGGAGACAGTGAAGGAAAAGGGAAAAAAAATATGATTCCTAGGTCTCTGACTTGAATAACTGATGAAACAGCAGTGGAATTTCTTGAAGTGGACAAAACTGAAGTGCAGGGTAGGATAGGTCACTCTGACTGCAAAACAAACAAAACCCAGAATACTTGGCATAAACTGGCAAAAACAATGAGAACACGTATTAGCCTACAAAATGTAGAACAGGCTACGAAGATTGGTTGTTCCAAAAGTTTAATATGTTACCAACATCTTCTTCTTAGCTCTACTCTTTGCCATCCAAGTTTAAGCTTTCTCCTAAAGCTGGCTCCCCTTGTGGTCGGTGACTGAGACAACGTGTTTCCTCACTCACCTCCAACAAGGAAGAGAGAAACCATTTCTCTAATCGTATAATAGAAGTCTTTCTAGCATGAACTTTCTGACTTAGCTCTGCCATGTTCTAACTGGCTTAGATGAATAAGGAATAGGCTTGGAGTTACTGCCCTCTGAGTCATGGCTAATGCATAGAGGGCACTATATGACACCTGGGCAAAATCAGGTTCTGTTGGGAAGGGCAGGAGGAGGGATCGATTCCGAGCCGTTTTACACTTCAGCTCTTTGTTTCTTCTTCCTGATCTGTGAAGTGGGGAGAGAGATATGCACAGTCTTGGCAGACAGAGGAGGTCCGGGATCTCACACAGAAAGAGATTTTTGCATCTGTCAAAAGAAAGAAACTAAAAAACTGGGAAATTACAACTGAAGTTTCTCTGGAACCAAGGGGGAAGGCCACTCCTAATATCAAAGGGATCCATACGGCAAAATTGCTGCATAGATGAGGTAATGTGAATGTCAGAGGCTGTATTTTGTTAACACAGGTATCTGTCTGCTACCATTGAGTACAAGCAGCCCTGTGGGGGAACCAGGGAAGAAGGCAGCAAAATAAAACCCTGCTGGCCCTGGTTTTTGTGTTTTAGAAATCCAGTCTTTCGGCCTGTGAGAGAATGATCACAGAGGATTCTAAAACTGTCTCCCTTTTACAAGTCACGTCTATGACATTTGAGAAATCGGGCCTTGAATATAAAAAACCAACTGGGACAGTGCCATTGAGGGCAAAAGGAGCCTTGGCTCAGGATGAGGGAGAGAAGAGGAGAGGACCAGGAAGAATGATGTCTTGGTGTCAAAGCCTCACCTGCTCTCCAGGCAGACAGATTCTCTGGTTGGGCGGCTTTCTTGATTGTCATTCCATGAATAAGAAACGTGTTCAAAAGCTGTTCACAGTTGGCCATGGAGAGGAGCTGTAGGAGAAGTTCTTAGTCAACCTTTAACCCTAAGGCAATCCAATGATTGTAAGGTTGATGTGGGTCCAGCCCTCTGTTCCTCCCCAAGAGGAATGGAGCAGAGTTTATTCCCAATCATCTGCATGGCTGCCAAAAACCTGAGAAATTCGGGGAATGTGGAGCATTTGGGGCACTGCTCAATTAGTTTGCATTAGATATACAGAGTGTGAGCCCCTTGTAGCCCCAGACTGTACTTCCAGGCCACCAACTCTGATTGCTAAAAATGGAAGGGGACCAAAGAGACCAGGCAAAACTATAAAGCTACTGGTTCTTTGCTTCTGCTTTTGAGTGTGCTTCATCAATCATCTTGTATTCCCTCAGGAAGAGCTTGGTCTAGGGATTTTAAACATCAGAGTAAGTAGTTAGAAAGGTAGAATAAAGAAGGTGGGAAGATTGAAAGCAAGTGATTTTTACATTTAACCTTAGAAATAAAATGGAGTTTTAACATAAGCATAACAGTAACTTAGAACTACCCAATCCAGCGCACAAAACAAAAGGTCTTCCCTTTCATCTATTTTTCCTACTTCTGTTGATAACCTCATCAACTGCAGTTTTACTGGGGTGTCATTAAATAGGCATGATTGATTGAATCATTATCCATGTGACTAAAATCAATCTCTAGGTCCCCACTCCTCCCCTCCCTAAGGTTGGGAGGTCTAGTCAGTTTTACTTGGCTCAAAGCTCCAACTTTTTAATCACATAGTTCATCTTTCTGGCATGGCCAGCCTCCATCTTGAAATTGTCTAGTGGCACACCAGGAATCACCTCATTAGCATAAATTAGGGGTGGTCCAAGAAGCCCAGCATAAATAACAAAGATACTTCTATCACTCAGAAAACCCCAAAGTTTAGAGGTTACCTCCCAGGAACCAGAGATAAAGACCAGCCAAATTCTTTAATATACAGCACACACCCACAGCTAATCCATTCCCAAGCCATGCCAACTTCCTCTCCTAAATATCTTTTAACTACAGCTCCTCTGTTCCATCCCTACTGCCACGGTGTAGGTCTATATCACCTCTGATGCGGACTATAGCAATAGCCTCTTAACTGCTCACCTTACTTCTAGTTGTACTTTCCCACCAAGTCATCCTTTACTCTGCTATAAGAGTTATTATTCTAAAACCCCAACATGATCATATTCTTGTCCTGCACAAAAACTCTCAATGGTTCCCAGTTGCCTATATCATCAATGTTCAATAGAAACATAATGTAAGCTGCATATGTAATTTCAAAGTTTCTGGGAGCCTAATTTTTTTAAAGTAAAAAAAAGTAAACAAAGTTAATTTTAATAATTTATTTAATCCAAAATTTCTAAAATATTATCATTTCAACATGAGATGTATAGATATGTGTGTGTGTGTGTGTGTGTATATATATATATATCTGTTTCCATTTTTAACTTTACATGAATAGAATTAAAAATTAAAATTCTTCTGCTTAGTTGTACTAGCCACAGTTTACCTACTCGAGAGCCACTGGCTGTCTTGCTCAATAGCACAAGCCTACAGTACAAAGAAGACTTCCAGCCTGTGGCATCCAAATCCTTCACATGCTGACTCCTGTCCACCTTTATTCCATCTCCTGCCGTTCCATCCCTCCTGCCAACAGCAGCAGCACAGCACTTTCTTCTCTGGCCACGCCAAACCACCTGCTCTTCCTCCAAAGAGACCATTCTGTTTCCCACTTCTTCACCTTTGTCCACGCTGTCTTGTCTGCCTTAAAAATTCTTTCAGTAAAAGAGCCAGAAAAAAAGTCACATATATTGTTGAGCATTAATAGAGTTCAGAACATGCTACTTTAAAATATGGCACCTTGGCGTTTCAGAAAACAGCAGAAGCAGAAGCTACCCTCACCTCCCATCACTCTTCTGCCTTGAAGCAGAAAATAAGACCCTCATTCGAGAGGTGCCCTTCCTTATCTCTGAAGATAAAGGCACAACCTTATCTCTGAAGACATGGGAACTTCGAGAAGAATCTCAACAAACAGGGCTTGCTAAGTTCTCCTCAGTTTATTGGCATTAGATTATACTCTTTTGTCTTCCAGTTGTATTTCTCTGTGACTGTCCATGACTCATCAAACCTAAACATGATAATATTCAAGTCTACCTGTTTCTTTGGGTCTTCATTTCCAAAGCCTCCTATATCCATAAATATATTAAATAAATGTGTATGCTTTTATCTTGTAAACCTGTTATTCATTATAGGGGACCTAAGATGGAAAGAAAATATTTTTTTCATCCCCTACAGCGTTAAGCCCTGATTTTGCTTCCTCAGTGAAGACATCTCAGGCGCTCCAGACTGAGGTTCCTCTAAGCCTCTGCATTTCCATGGTGCTTTAATACCTCTTTTGGAGTAAACTACATTTTCTGCATCAAAGACTGTAATACGTGATTTGACACCTCAACTGACAAGTAGGCAGACTATTGAAAATAAAGGAAAAATGGGTTTTGCAATTATAGTACTTACCATATTATATTGAAATTGTGTTTGTACATGCCTGAGTGGTGAGCTCCTCAAGGACACAGTTGCTTGCCTTTATATCCCCTGTTCTAGTTCAATGCCGGGTGGCTGTTAGCTCCTTCCTCACTTATTAGATTAAACAGGACCAATTTCTCCCCCTTCCTACAATGGAATACTGTTCAATACTAAAAGCAAATTAGTTGTCAAGTCATGAAAAGATATGAAAGAAATTTAAATGCATATTACTAAGTGAAAGAAGCCAATCTGAAAGGGCTATGTACTGTAGGATTTCAACTAGATGACATTCTGGAAAAGGCAAAACTGTAGAGACAGAAAAAAGATCAGTGGTTCCCAGGGGCTAATGGGGAGGAAGGGGTGATAGATGGAACACAGAGGATGTTCAGGGCAGTGAAAGTATTCTGTATTGTACTTTAATGGTGAATACATGTCATTATACATTTGCCAAAACTCACACAATGTATATCAAGAAGAAAGCCTAATGTGAACTGTGAGATTTTGGGTGATAGTGATACATCAGCATAGGTTCACTGTAACGATGAACCACTCTGATAGGGGTTGTTGATAGTGAGGGAGCTTATGTGCATGTAGGGGGAAGGGGATATGTGTAAAATCTATATTTTCTGCTCAATTTTGCTGTGAACCCAAAACTGTTCTAAAAAGTAAGTTGTATTTCAAAAAATCAACACCATCAAATGAGGAAAACATATGTTTATGAGCTTCTGTAGTGCTTGAGGAAAAAGTAGTCTTCTATACTCTCCATGGCTCAGAAGCCTCCCTGAATCCCAAGTTGGGTGAGGTAGATACTCCCTGCACCTGCCACCTCCCAATTCACACATTTGCTCATTCATCTTCTCTGCAGGACCGTAAGCCCCGTGAGGGCAAAGACTGTGTTTGGTTTCAGTGCTGCACCGTCATTGCCTGGTGCAAGGCCTGGCACCTATTAACACACATGTGCTCAATCAGCAAATCAAGATGTGGGCAGCTAGCTAGCTGTCCTAAAGCATGCTTGACTCCAGCCATATCTCTGGATACTTCATAGTACAATTCTGCAGGAAATCAGTGGTGCCCAGTGCTGCAAGTGGCATTTTCTCCAGAGAAGACGGGGCAATTTCTTTCTGTGGTATGTTGAGCTCTGCTTGGGAGCACATCTGAAAAAAAACAGTTTCTGTTTCTGTAAACAGCATAAAAATGGAGAAAGCAAAAACACTATAATGAAGTTCTTGATGGAAAGAAATCTCTCTAGATGAGGAAAATAACACGTCGGCCAATGGGAAACCGATGGAGATTTGGGCAGATCTTGTTTCAGGCCCAATTCCTTCCTTTACTTACTGTGTGAAGGTGCACAAGTCACCAATCTCTGCAAACCTGTTCTTGATGAACAGAATGAGAAAGCACCTGGGATGGATGATCTCAATGTTCTCTTTTACTTCTGTGATTTAACAAAAGCTCCACAGCAAATGAATTACTTTTAGCCTTCATTGCTTAGGTGAAGCAATTCAGCAGCTGTCTCTGCTATGCTTTCATTTAGTACCTTGTTTAAAATAATTACTGTTTGCAATAATTTATATTTCATTATAGTGCTGGGATTCTCAGTTTGGTCCTCTCTAGATCTGCTGTGTGTTGTGCTCTGCAGACTGCCTCTTTTGGGCTCCCTGGCCATTTCAGTTCGGCCAGTGGAAAGCACTGGAAGGAGATCAGAGGCAGTGGGGAGAGAAGCCAGGGTATTCCTCCTCCATTCCTTCCCTGCTGTACTAATTGCCTAATTGTCACAAACTGGGTAGCTTAAAGTAACAAACGTATTCTCTCAACATAGTTTTGGAGGCCAGAGATCCAAAATCAAAGTGCCAACAGGGCTGGCTCCTCTTGGAGGCTGAGACCACCCATTCCATGCCTCTCCCCTAGCTTCTCAAGGCTGCTGGCAATCCTTGGCATTCCTTGGTTTGCAGACATATCACACCAATCTCTGCCTTTACGTTCACATGGCTTTTTACCTTATATCTTTCGTGTCTCAAATCTCCTCCTTTCTCTTATAAGGACACCAGTAGTTGGTGTCCACCCTAAATGCAGGATGACCCGTTAACTCCATCCTAAATCCAGGATGATCTCATCTTGAGATTCTTAAATACATTCGCAAAGACTCCATCTCCAAATAAGATCAAATTTACAGGTACCAAGGGTAAGAACTTGGACATATGTTTTGGGGGCCACAATTTAACCCACTACACTTGTCCTGATGTCATATCTCTGATAAAAGCAGAGACATCCAAAGGACTGATATCTCTTCCATAATTTAATTCTCATGAGTAACACTCCTCTCCTTGTCCCTTTTGCCCTAGGAGTAGTAATAATTTCCCTTTATTGGCTAGACTCTGAGTGTCACAGAGACCCCGTGATAAGAGATTAAATTGTTATGTATGCTTCTAGACAAAAATAATAGGCAGGGCTTGGTGGCTCATGCCTGTAATCCCAGCAATTTGGGAGGCCGAGGAGGGTGGATCACCTGAGGTCAGGAGATCAAGACCAGCCTGACCAACATGGTGAAACCCTGTCTTTACTAAAAATACAAAGATTAGCCAGCTGTGGTGGTGCATGCCTGTAATCCCAGCTACTCAGGAGGCTGAGACAAGAGAATCACTTGAACCTGGGAGGTGGAGGTTGCAGTGAGCCGAGATTTTACCATTGCATTCCAGTCTAAGTGACAGAGTAAGATTCCATCTCAATAATAATAGCATAAGAATAAATTTGTGTTCCTGGAAAATAACTGACAAGAAGTGAAAGTGAGGCTGGACATAGAGTTCATAAAGATGCAAGCTAGGCAGGAAGATTGAGTGAATTTTATATTTTTCTTTGAAGAAGAAACATGTTATATTTGAATCACTTTTTCTGAGTTTTTCCTCAGAGTTCGCTTGTTAGAATTTAGTGGGAAAATAAGAAGTAAGTCATTATGGGGTAAAGACTCTGAATTTAATGTCATCTCAAAAAAAAAAAAGTCTAGAATCATATAGATTCTAGAATCATCCAGAATTTTTTTAAAAAGTTTTGATTTTGTACTTTAATCTTAATATGCTAAATTGCAATCCATAGATAGGTTCTACATAGCTTTACACCAACTCATGAGTATTCGGAGTAGGATAGTGTTGGTTTGGTTTCCCTAAAAGGCATACCCTGAAATAAGAATTTGAGGAAAGTAGTTTACTGGAGAGGGCTGGTCCTGAGAAAGTGAGACAGGGAAAGGAAGGGACATCAATAAAGAATACATTGTTAAGGCAGTTATCATTTCCTACAATTGGAGCTGAATCCTGACGGGTGAATGTGGGAGGCTATATGGGAATCCCTCCTTCACCCAAATTGAGAAGTGAGGAATCTGGACTAGTTATTCCTCAACTCCCTGCCCATCTTTAGTTGAGAACTGCTTCTGAGGGCATGACTCTTCAGAATCTCTGGCTTATCCTTTTTGCCGGGCTAAAGAAAAGTCCTCAGGCAGAACTTTTGGATATTCATGGTAAACAGCATTGGCTTGTAGAGGTGAATGTGAGGGGGATATAAGTGGGACATTGGCAGCATCTGCTCAAGAAATTAATGTCATTAAAGAAAAAGACAAAACCAAAAACACGCACATCCTGGCAATGTGGCAACCTTATTATATATCCCCAAATCTTCCTTCTCTGTCCTTGCCATTGCTACGTTATGGACAGAGTGTAATTCCCCACCTGTGCTACTCACATTGTCCAGTGGAAGGTTAAGAGACATGGTAATAGCAGAGATTTTAAACGCCCTGCATGCAGGCGGCTTCTTGTGACCTCCTGTGCTTCAGTCGTCTATGCCTTTGCTTAAAATTCCACTTTAGGGAGTCAGTCCTACGAAAATACACATATACACAAATAAATTATGTAAAATTATGGTCATTGTAGAATTAATTATAAAGGCAAAAAAATGGAAATAACATAATAAAGATGGGTAAATAAGTTACAGCATATTTTTACTGTAGAATTTTATGCAGTATGTCCTTAAATGGAAAGATGTGAATGATATAAAAATTCAGAAAAGCAAATTTCAGAACTACATATAATCCCCATTTTTAACAACAAAGATTATAATTATGCATATTCAAAGATACATATTTGCATCTTTCTTATATACATATAGAAAAAACTGAATGTAAAATGTATCTCTGGGCATTGTAGTTGAGAAAAGTAAAGGCAACCCTTGATAATAGTTTTTTTAAAATGTCATATGTGAAACATGTATCAGACGAAAAAAAATTTTTTTATTTCAATAGGTTTTTGGGAAACAGGTAGTGTTTGGTTACATGAATAAGTTATTCAGTGGTGATTTCTGAGATTTTGCTGCACACATCACCCGAGTAGTGTACGCTGTACCCAATGTATAATCTTTTATCCCTCACCTACCTCCCCACCTTCCCACCACTGGTCCCCAAAGTCCATCGTATCATTCTTATGCCCTTGCATCCTCATAGTTTTGCTCCTTATAAGATGAAAAATTTAATGAGCAAAAGATATGAAATGAAGGTAAAAGGTTTTTTCCTTGTCTTCATACCAGTCTCCATACCACAGATAACTAATTCTGTAATTTATTCTAAAAATTATTTTAATGCATATGTTCACACCATATATGCATCTGTCTGTTCTTATAAAAATGTTATTTGTACTGAACTTGTTCTTTGGACTCTTGAGGTCACAGAAGTACCTCAGTCTTTTCACAGAGACATCCTTATTCCATCCTACAAGTTTACTGTTATTTAGTTAACTTGCCCCTACTTATGAATACTGGGTGTTTCCAGTCTTTTGCTGTTGCAAAACAATGTAGCAATAAATATTCTTGTACATATATTTGCTAAACATTTGCAACTATATCTATTGCATAAATTTCTGGCAGAGGGATTACCAGTGAAAGCAGATGTGCATTTTAAATTCTGAAAGATATTGTCAAATTATCCCCCAAAAAGAACACACCAATGCACATTTCTACCAATGACTTAGGAGAGTGTTCATTTTCCCTTTAGACTTGCAGCAAGCACTAGGTGTCATTAAACATCTACAGTTGCCCATCAGAGAAGTGAAAAAATCTTATTTATTAATTTTTGTTTTGATTATTTGTATTTATTTTAATTCTGAGAGAATTAATATGTCATTTTAATTCTTTTTTTTTTTAAATATGGAACGCTTCACGAATTTGTGTGTCATCCTTGCGCAGGGGCCATGCTAATCTTCTCTGTATCGTTCCAATTTTAGTATATGTGCTGCCGAAGCGAGCACGTCATTTTAATTCTTAATTAATCTTGTCATTTGTTTTCTGACCAGTCGTGTTCCTTTTTCTGCAAACATTAGTAGCCTTTGACCATTTTCCTCCTGGGTTGGTCATCTGTTTCATACTGACTTGTAGAAGCTCCTTGATAGTTGAGGAAGTTTAACTTTTTACCATTTGTTCTGCGAATACATTTTTTCCAGTTTGCTATTAATCTTTTGACTGTTTATGGCATTTTTCCCCCCATACAGTGTTTTGGAATATTTACATGGTTGAACATGTTAATTTTGTTTCTTTATGACTTCCGGATTTTGTTCTTATTTAAAGAAGCCTTTCTCACCAGAAATTATAAATTCTTTTGGAACTTTTATCACTTTTATGTTTAAATCATTGATCCAGCTGGAATTTATTTTGGTGAAGAGGAATGTTTACTTTTAGCTTTGTAGGTATCTAAAATTGTTTGAATTTTCTAAAATGAGCAAGTGTTCCTTCTGTAATTTAAAAGTGCCAGTAAATGAAAACAGATGAATGAAATGAAACGATAAGGCATAATAACTCACAGGACAAAGCCTGGAGCAAGAAAGACAAGGTAAGAGGTATTTTAATAGTCTGGGTCGGGCTATTCATTCAATACATTGACCACCTATTATTTGTCAGGTCCAGTGCTAGATCCCAAAGACATAATAAAGGCCTGGATTGAGAAACTGACAATGGTAATGAGAATGAGGGAAAGGACTGATGGAAGTGTTTTAGCCCATAGAATGATCACCATGGCAACGGGAGCCTGAATCATCACTATGGAGACACAGTGCTTTAAATTATGACTACAGGGATAGTGTGATTCTGTCAGTGAGAATTTTGAAAAAGGCAAACAGGTATGTTACAGATGTTTCA